ACCCCCCATGGTCAATGGCATGGTGGTCGCAGAAACCACCTGACGAACATTCAGAAGGCATGAAGGACGCCTTTGCGGAAAGGCAAATGCAATGTTGCAGTTGAAGGCAGAAGGAGTGAGGAAGCATTCCCCATGCCGGTGAATAGTCAGGATCATATCCTTAGGAAATTGGTTAAGTCAACAATCTGTAGATAATTGTATTTGTATATCCTTCTGAAGGTAGTAGGGGTGGGCGGTATAAACGGTATACTGTAGAAATGATATTAATTTGGCCAACTGTAGAGATTTTGACTATATCGGCCTATCGCGATAGCGCATGTTGATGACGTCATCAAGCGGCGTCTGTTGAGGCTGAAAGCATGGAGCCTGTGGTGGAGGAGGAGTAGGAGGTTCTCGTAAAGAAGACCGGTGCAACATCGGTCATTTGGACTTGGTTTGGCTTTAAGGAGTCTGATGTGGAGCAGAACAATATAATCTGCAAAGTATGCTGGAAGAAAGTATTAGCGAATAGAGGGAATACATCTAATTTGTTTAACCACCTCAAAACGAAGCACGTTGTGGAATACGAAGAAAGCCAAAAACTGCGTCCTCAACAAACGCCCAATCAGTCGAGCGGTAAGAAAAAAGGTGGTCTTACACACCAGCAGACAGATATTTTACAAGTATTTGCTAAATGCACTCAGTATGAGAGAAATAATCAACGGTGGATTGATATTACAAATGCCTTTACCACGTACCTGTGTTAGGACATGGTGCCGTTTCTTACAGTGGAGAAAAGCGGCTTTCGGGACATGATTAATGGGCCATTCCCATCTGTACCGGGTCAGCCGGGTAGCGTAGGTTGTTTACATATCTGGGTGGCCTGGTATTTTTCCGGGCCAACCAAGTCTCATTCTCAGCCCTCTTCTCGAGGGGTTCTGCTTCAGGCCGACCAGGGCCAACACACCCACTGCTGACAGCAAATTCACACCTTCCATTAGAGCAAGCCTCTGATTGGTAGGTAGAATCAGCCCACATGGGCTTAAGACAAGGTTGTGTGGAATCAACCGGGCCAGGCTGGGGCCGACTGGGGCTACCTGGCTCGGTCCGACCCAGTACAGATGGGAATGGCCCATAAGACACTCGATCCACGTTACAAGGTACCGAGCCACAAACACTTCAGCCAAACACAGATGCCAAAACTGTACGAGAAAGTCCGCAAGCAAGTAAAGCAAGAACTCCAAGGAATTACACACTATGCAACTACGACGTGAGTATGTTTAGAAACAGTCGTTTTTGACATATATACAAAAGAAAGTCATATATCGCAATATATACAGTTACCGCACATTTTTCAAATTATATCGCAATATAGATTTTAGGCTATATCGCCCACCCCTAGAAGGTAGCTATTTCAATAGCAGTTGATCATTGATCATTAATAATTAGTTTTCCAAAGGTGGATTGCAAAGGATAAAGAGCTCTGTGTTCCCATACAGCGCAGAGCAGGATGTAGAAGGACGACCAGCAGGCAGGATCTGGTCTCAGGTGACTTTTAGGAGACCCATCAGTGCAGCAGGATCAGGACGGCCAGACCCATGAACCGGAGCTCCAGGCAGCAGGAAGCATCAGCATCAGGCAGCGAAGCATAGAGGTCCCCCAGGTAGCGAAGACCAATGGCGAAGCTCAGGAGAGGAGAGGAGCAGACACAAGCACGTGAGGATAGACACAAGAAGATTGCGTCTGATGCAAAGCAAAGAAGCAAAAATAAACCTGGCACTGTGAGTACCTGCATGTACAATGTGTAGCAAGTATGTGAATAGCATTTTAAGTGAAGAAATGCATGCAGTACACTACGTGAACTGGAAAAAGTGATGTAAAAAGAATAAAGTAATAAAACCCTATACTGCGTATGGGAGAAATCACTGCACTAAGTAAAATTTTCATCAAAATGAAGGGCAAAAATGGGTGTAGCCCATAGAGGTAAATTAACAAAGTTAATCAGAAAGTTATCACTTAATTACTGTAGTACAAGTCTATAGAAAGATAGATATGTGAGTGTCAAACATCGACATTAATATTATGGACATCTACTTTCCATAGGCTCCAATATCACTTTTTTGAGGCCATTTTGACCGTGTTACAGGTTCCGTCAAGCCCAGACAATTCCAAAAAAGCGAAGAGAGGAGGAGCTGAGGGTGGGGCTGTAAGGCTGGGATCGACTGACGACACCCGGTCGAACTAGCTACAAGCTAACCTGAAGCTAACCCAAAGCTAATGCGGAGGTGGGAGCTAAGCTAACGGAGGTAGCAACCTAGCTACATCCGGAGTTAACTGTGTACAACACCAGAGCTTCTGAGTCAGAGATACGCCGGGCTGACCGCTGGGTTAAACCGGGTGGAACATAGAGGTCTCAGAGACCTCCACAAGCCGGCAGCCGCACAGCACACAGAAGCCGCGATCAGACAGATGCGCCGAGCTGCTGGGAGAACCAGCCGTCAGCCCGCCGCAGCACACAGAAGCCGCGATCAGACAAAGATGGACCGGGCTGTGGGGAGAAACAGCCGGCATTCCGGGTGGAAAACATTGGTCTCCTGAGAGCTCCACAAGCCGATATTCGGAACCCAGCTCCACCATCATGTTATATTTCAACCCATTTTCTAAAGTGCAGCATTATGTTAAATGCACTGGGTTAAATGCACCCTATTACATTTATGTTTATGTTTATGTATTTAGCAGACGCTTTTGTCCAAAGCGACTTACAAGTGATAATCGGCATTTTGCCCTTGAGGCTAACAACAATAGTAACAACAACAAATTGACATCAGTCATGGAGAGGAGGGAACAAGGAGTGGACAGTAGAGAGGGGGGACGGGTGCAGACAAGGTGCTAGTTAAGAAGATGCTCTCTGAAGAGCAGGGTCTTCAGGAGTTTCTTGAAAATAGAAAAGGAAGCCGCAGTTCTGGTAGTGTTAGGAAGGTCATTCCACATTTGTGGAACGATGCATGAGAAAAGTCTGGATTGTCCTGAGCGTGGTGTAGGCACTGCTAGCCGACAATCCTGTGATGACCGGAGCGGCCGGGCCGAGACGTAAGCCTTTGCAAGAGGATTCAGGTAGATGGGAGCCGTACCGTCTCGGACTTTGTATGCTAGTGTTAGCAATTTGAATTTGATGCATGCTGCTAGCGGTAGCCAGTGGAGCTCAATGAACATGGTTAATGAATGTCATGGTTAAACAGTACATGTTAAAATCTAAGCTCAGCTCGGCAGTGACCTGAAATACATAAATATAATTTTACTTACCGAAAAAAATGAAGTGGAGACTCCTTGGATGCTCTATTAGTGCAATTAATGCCACAGCAAGTCATTTTGTCCAACAATTGCACAAATAATATCCAAAAAAGAAAACACACACACAGAGACTCAAAATCCCGGAGCAGTTTCCAGGCCAGACCAAGGCTCAGACTGAGGCCTTTCCATGGAGCTAGCTCTGTGGTCACGTGGGTCGGATACTCATTAATTATACAGAATTTTAGGCTTTTAATACACTTAAACAGAAGAGTGAGAAAAAAATTCACCCCCCTCAGAGTTGTCATGAGTGTAAACTAGATCATTTAAACAAAAAGCATGTTCTGGTACCAGGCTGTAAACATGTTTATTTCTGCTGTGAAATTGGTATTTTTAACATGGGAGTCAATGAGGATTTGCTCGCTTCTGACACCAGCCCCTAGTGGATGAGGGTGGAACTGCAATTTGTCTTACTTCCGGGTTTGACTCAATTTTAAAGCCGCATTGTGGGGGCCTGGTGTCAAAGAGCACTAAAATGTAAATCAGTGAAGTTAGTAATTCCTACATGTGAATGTACCCACAAGGAATTGGGATTAGTGAATAACTGAAGCATAAAAATGAACTGAAATCGGTTAACAAAAGATTGAACTTCAAAAGTTATCTAAATTACCAGAAATAGAAAAATAAAGAAAAATTGAATTTGGATCAACATAACAGGTAGTGGAGTTACTCACTTTGAACTGTTATGAACTTAAGTCATATGATTATGAAAAACCACAGCACGACCACAGCCAAGATCAACCAAGTCTGCATGATATGTTTAGACATGAAATTCATTCACGCACACACATACACTCAACAGGACTTACGTGACCTGAATCAGAACCCAGCGAGAGCGGACGGAAGTTCACCCCCCTTTCGGCACGATTCGAGTTGGGTAGTAAGCTATATTGGTTGTAAGAACATCCAAATTAGTGGAACCTTTGTGCGGTTTGATTTTATTCTTGCGGACCCATAAATAGATGGGAACTTTGTTACCTTTGGTGATCTTGATCAGATACATGACCGGAGAGAGTGGTTTAGTTGTCGGGTACAGACCTGACCTTTCCTGCGAAAGGTTATTAACCAGTTTACCAGAGGTGACAATTGTGTGACCAGAATTAGGAGCAAAATTGAGGTCAGAATGAGAGGCCCTCGGATCATGAGGAGGCATACTGCCCCCTGCTGGTTTCTTCAGACTTGTTTTTGGAAAAGAAAACACAGCATGCAGATTGTCGTTAAGGCTCTGCAAAACCCGCTCACTAGTGAAAGCCACAGCGCCACCAGACTGAACTGGCTGGAACAGCAGGTGATGGTTAGACATCAAAAGATCTGGGAGTCCTCGGAGTGAGACACGTATTAGAGGAGGCTGCGGAGAAAGCACAGCCACGTTTAGGATCAGACACACCCATGTTACCAGCAAGAGAAACATTGTCTGTCCTGAAGACTGAAACCAAGAATGATTTGGGCTATAGACAGGTGCAGCCTACGAGGGTCCGGAGTAGATGTGCTCTCTGGAGGGCCCCCGATCAACACACAGGTGCTATCAAAGAGATCAGGGTCAGCCAGTAGAGGTACAGGGCGACATCCGACCCCCCTTTTGGTAGGTAAGTCATCTACCTGAGGTTTAGAGGTCATCAGTGCCAGCTGTAGTGGAGTAAGGTCAGTGATGGCATCCCCCCCCCCCCACCCCCACCCCCCCCACCCCTTTTTGTAGGTGGTGTTCCCACCACATAGTACTGGGCTTCAGGAGTCTCAGTGCCACCATCAACTCCCTGCAGCAGGTGGTGTCTCCACCGCAGGGTGTGGAGTCTCAGGTGGAGCGTCGCTGCAAGCATCAACCTCCCCTGGGTCAGGTGGCTTTCCCAACTCGGGTAGGAGAGGTTCTGCTGCAGGGCCCACACATGCTCTGTGGACATCAATGATCTTAGAGGTACTGGATTCCCTGGTCAGTCCAGCGCTGTTGTGGTCAACAACACCTGAAGGAGGAATGACACGAACACAAAAGAGAGCACACAGCTCAGGAACTGAGTCAAACTCCAGAGAAGGATATTGATGAGCTTTTGGATCAGAAAGGTGCAAGATCATCCTGCTGATAGCAGGGTCCTGGAACTCAAGACTGACGAGGTCATTTATAGAAAAGGCAAGTTGAACAGACACAAACCCATCAGATGGTTGAAAGATGGACGCATCATCGGGGGCTACAAGGGTTTGAGGGACCATGGGGTGCCCACATCTTTACCTTGAGTGGCAAGAGGGTCTGTCAAGTTGTTGAGATAACCGTTAAGGAAGTTCTCTGGCAGAAGTCGAGTTTCAAAGCTGAGTTTCTGGCCATCAATGTAGCTGGAACGGTGTTTACCTGCCCACATGGTGGAAAGAGAAAGATTATTGCAATCAGGATATCTTAACAAGTTGTTGTTTGTTTCGCTCGACTACAGTGGTAGGAGCCTCAGCTTCGTTAGAGAAATCAACAGAATGTGACTGATGAAAGCTGAATCTGTGGTGGCAAAGGTTCTGGGCTAGGTTGTGAACATGTTGTTCCCCCCGGCTCCTACCAACCGTGAGACAGTAGAGGTCAGGAGGCAGAACGATGGGCAGAGGTTCTTCAACCCCTGACCAGAGTTTCCACATCAATGAAAGCATCAATGCACCTCAGAAAGTCCATGCCAAGGGTGAAAGGTATCCTTGCATGCTCGGAGATGTACACGGGATGTGTCAGAGTCATGGGGACAATCGAGAAGTGGAGGGCAGACCTAGAAGACCAGATTAAGTCATGAGAGTAAGTCTTGACAGTTACAGAACATGGAACAAGTTCTGGGGTTCTGACCCCCGCTCCACAAGATATGCAGATGCGGTCGAACATCGCTCGAGTTACAAGTGTAAAATTTGAACCTGTGTCAAGAAGGGCGTTGCAGGATAGATTCTGGGTCAGTTTGACCGACACCAGAGATTTTCCAGCTTTCTCCTCGGGCACTAGGTGTCCCAAGAACATTTTGGCGGACTCGACGACAGGGTGGACCAATATTTTGTCCATTGCGGATGAACCGGTCTCCAGTGTAGCAGGAACAGGTGGTCCTGTTTCCTGAAAGAGAAAATCAAAAGGATTATCCTCTGTTTGCAGAATTTGTTCTGGAAGCAGATCAACAGCAGAAAGATTTAATTCTTGTACAACATCAGGATCTTGTTCAATTACGTCCAGCGTGTTACTCAGAGATGAGACAGTTTCTGTCTTTTTTTGGAATTTCTGGTTCAGAGTGTAACTCTGCCGCTGCATGTCAACTTTCCTTTCCTCTGCCATTCCAATGAGGAAAGAAAGCACATAGTTATGCTAGTATGACATTGTGATGATGCACTAGAAACCTTATTTTGAGGAATAAGAAATTAGAGAGAAAGAAAGAAAAGCTTTGAGCTTTTTATGAGCTGGGTGAAAACCCTGCCAGTAGATGGAAGCACCGGGCTAAAGGAACGTGATTAATGGAGGCGAGGCATGGTTGCGTCACTCCCTTTAATCAGATCCAAAGGCGAACTGAGCTGTTTTAGCTGAGCTCTGGTTTTTTGGCTAAAAACAGGGCGGTTTTAAGAGCCAAAATGTTTACCCAAAGGGATTTTAATGGAGACGCAGGCGTCTGCGGCGGGTTTCCCCGCTCAGTGCTGACTTATCAGCTCCTATCTCCCGCATGACGAAGCTGTTTAGCTCGTCGGCAAGGCCTAGATTTGAACAGAATCAGGACTTTATAGTTTAGTTAACGTCCAATGGAACAACCTCTTTGACTGCAATGGACCTGTGCACTAGTTCTCGTCTTAGGCCGGGTTTTAGCGTATATTATGCGGTGTGCAGCCGCTAGCCGCTATTGTGGCTTCGGACGGTAGCAGGCTGTGCTAGTCACTAAGCTAAATGGGTGAAAGTGCGCGCATTCAGTGATGTGCCGAGTTTGATCACGATCACTCTTCAGACCACAGTCTGGTTGTTCCGAAAGCTCATAAGAGTCCGGGTATTTTACCGGAAAAAGTGTTATTTAACAGTTGATCAGACTGTCTAGCGATTAGCTTTGTGCTAACGTGAAGAGAGAACGAATTCTCTGACTCAGAAGTGACACAATGTATATAGACAAGGTGACAAATAATGCATAAACACACATTCACTTACTTTTTAGCAATTAGAATGTAATTTGAAATGCTCGCTTTTTAAAGACTCTGCTGATTTTACTGTGTTTCGGACAACTGGAAGTTTATGCCGGAAGCCGGTGTTACAGTAAAAAGCTTCCCTCCCTGGCGTTCCGGAGGAAGAACATTAAAGAGACACAGCTCCCCTGTACCAAATGTGCTTTCTGCCATTTTCCATGAACAGTAATGTTTTCTCAGCTTTTTTTGCGTTTAATGCACAGGGCTTGGAGCACAAGACCAGCACAAGGAATTGGTAGGCCTGATCTCAACCTGAATTTTTTCTTTGGAGTTTCCTTTGTGCTGCTGGGTACACTCTGCTGCACATCCACATGTTCTTCTGTATCATCAGCTTTTGTGTCATCACGTACAATATATTTATCAGCTTTTTCCGCGCGTCTCTTATCAATAAAACGTCTGTAGCAGGTGGGTGAAAGCCAGCGTCTTCGGGAATTTTGTCAATTTCTATATTTCTGTACTGTTCATACAGTTCAGCCAATGCTCGACTCCTACCATGCAATCCACGCCATTTTGTGGCGGCTTCCCTCTGGGTATTTCATCGAGTAAACATGAAATCCAGTACCTGTTCATGCTTCAAAGAAGCTATATGCATGTAGCACAGTTTTCTTACTCGTTTAGTCGTTTTTGTTCAATTTTCCAGTGATTTATCATTGTCCTCCCTGGTACGTTCTGAATCCATGTTGTCCGCCATGTTGGAATGTGTTTACTGAATGCGCGCATCGCATTGATCTAAAACAATCATGTGAGAGCCACTTCACTACTTTCTCATTACGTTCTGAACAAACTAGTCTCGAACTAAAACAACGATCGTAAAAAAAAATGCGAGACTTTCAGAGGAGGAACTTTACTTTTGAAATCGGTACGAATGTACTAATTTTATGAAGCAAAGAGTGAGAAGCCACAAGACCTTGGAACGAGACTCAATTTCTAGAGCAAGAACTGCCCCCTCCAGCTGCTTTGCTTCAATTTCAATTTCGGGTTCAAGAGGTTAATATTACGTAAATGGAAATAGGCAGAGCAGGTGATGTTATTTATATGAGCTGAGAAGTAGAGAGGCCTGTTGGGTAATTTCTAATATTACTCCCATATTTCCTCAAAGAAATACTAAGCACACCCAGAGGGATTAGATTCATAATTTGGTAAATTGTAAACAACCCTTAAACAGACAATGAACACATACTCTGCAAAGCGTGATACTTTGCAGAGGGTGAGAATCAAACACACCAGACAAGAGCTAGTTTCCTCTCACACTGAGCTGAGAACTCTGGGGAGCATTTATTGGCACAAACACACCCATACATTCCTCAAAAACTCCCTTGGTCTTAGGAGTCCACAGGAGACAAAAGGGATTCTTCAGATAATAACTGAATGAGCCTCTTGGCCTGGGCAGGACAAAGAGTTGTACCTGCCTAAGCTCCAAGCCAAGGCAGGACCCCCTGGTTTGGCTGGTTTGGCCTCCATATAGTAGAACACAAGTACCTGAAGCAAACATTCAAAGGTAAATAAGGGTGAGGTAAGGCACCTCAAGCAGAAAGGAGGTGACTGTTTGACAATCAGGTTTTACCTAACAATCCCCCCTGTTCAAACGGAGTTCACCTCAAATAATTATTACAATGAAGAATAACACAATCTGAGTGGATAACAAGAACATCAAACAACAATGGTTACAGAAACTGCAATTTACATTGTTGAAATCATAATTAAACCAACTTTATCAGGCAATATATTCATCTTCTGCAAGCTCCTCTTTCTGTCTCGGGAGAGTATATTGAACCAAAGCATTCGTCATCAGTTTGCTTACCATATTCTTCAAACATGGGAGTACACAGCCTAGAACTAAGCAACTCATGACCAGGATAACAATAACAGGTTCGAGAAACTTTAACAAGAGCTGATACCAGTTACCAGACACCAGCTAACTCATAAAACTCCAGGATCCGCCAGTCAATTTGTTGGATTTCAGGAAGTTGCTAGAGGGAGAAAGTTAATGCAAAATGTCAATGTACACAGCTCTAATTGTGGCAGAGCTGAGGTCAAAAGGGCTTGTACATGGACTGGAAAGCGTTGTTTGAGCAAAACAATGCCTTCGTCAGGATGGTGTTGAACTTTCGCCGAGATGAAACAGAAAGGGCAAAAGGTTATCACAGACCCAGACTCTCTTACTTTAGCTCAAATGTCCTCGTAGGGACGCCCGTCCTCATGTGACATGAGGCGGGGGCAGGGAGCCAATCTGCACTTTGGGCCACACCAGTTGTGTGGCAGGAGAGAGAACCAGTCTGAGCAAAAGATGTGTGTGTCAGCAACTTTGCTGATGTTACAGCAACGCAGGATCCAGTGACGGTTGGGACGGTGAGGGGGATGTCTCTTTGGACAAGGAGCCATGAAACCAGACGGGAGATTTGGGGTACTGGATCTTGACATCGTTGGAGGCAGGTCACAGCGTTGTGTGAACGGACCCAGGAGGGGTCTCAATTACCAGATGTTGTTTCCGTTGTTTCTCCCAACTGCTGCTGATTCCTCTCGTTCCATCAGATGCTGAGGAGTGGTTTCAGGGCAAAGTGCGATCCCCAAACATCAGCAGCGTCATGGTGGATGGGCCCTGCAAGCTTAAGGCAGATCATTTACTTATCTGCCATCCTCGGCGTGCCCGCATGCGTTCCATCAGAGGATGGTCAGTCGTAGTGGCCCTCTCAGCAGTATGCAGCAGCAGGAGGGATAAGATGAGTGACCTTGACGCCTCATCTTGGTAGAAGCATGTGCATCCCCAATGCAGGGCCGGCTTTGCCGACAGGCGACACAGGCGGCCGCCTGGGGCGCCATCTGATGGATAGGGCGCAAAATTAAAAAAAAGTTTATTAAATTTATGTTTGTAATATGAAATGCACTCTAAATACTCAAAATTCCCCTTTGAAATGACAGGAAATTAAAACATCAATATTTAAATTCTAATGATCTGGCTGCATGACGAGCTCCCGCTTGGGCCACCGCTCCGATGCATTTGACCGTTAAGGGTGCCGTAGATCACGTGTGTGGGTAGCGCTGTAGAAGGACATCCTGTTGTCGTCGCGTTTAAACTTTTGATATTTTACGATGAAAAGAACACCTAAGCCATCAGGATCAGCATTCCCAAAGCGAAGGAAGGAGGAAGAATAAAAACGGGCCCAAAGCAGAGGTATGTAGACTTTATAAATTTGGCAAAGGAACTTTTAGCGTTACAATTTTAGCTAACTGCCTCTCCTGCCACGCACAGTCCACGGACGGACCCTCGCTAGCTGTTTACATTCACAATACAGTATCTCATAACTTTAACCAATTAATTTTACTTTTGAATCGTCGTGTCCAGATGCAGTGAGACAATATCTGCAGCCACGACAGGCACCTGTTGACACCACGGGGGCGGGACTGTCTTCTACACCTGTTGAGCCTCACTGTGATGATGAAGAATGTAAGATTTTTTTACTGGTTTTTGGAGTATGATCGCAGCCTTTTTATGAACTTAGTTTCAAGTTTTAAGTACGCATACAATATGAATTTAATGTTTTCATATCAGAAGAACGTTAGGTGTGGGTGTAACAACATTTCTACTTTGTCCGACACATCGGGCAGGCAGCACCTCCGCGGCCGTGGCGGGGACTCCCCCGCTGCCGCCGGGCCCGGCGGAGAGTGAGAACTGCCTAAACACAGCATGACATCTTATTCCGTCTCTTTCTTGTTTACGCTGCAGCGTCTTCTATCCAGGCATCACGCAGCAGCAGCACATTTACTGAGCTACAATCTCAGCATCTAGAACCAGGTGAGTAAGTTACTTGTTAGGCTATTTGTAATCAGCAGTAGAAACGGACTTTTTCAAATTAAAAGGGTTATCACATATATCGATATGCAAAATTAATTTATTTAAATCCACACCAGACACTTGTTTTTGGCACAGTCAGTGCAGCATTGATTTAGCATTGAGAATATTAAATAATCTGAACATACACATCTGAAATTGTCTCCTTAAGATGTTATTAGGCTGTAAATTTGTAAAAAAGGATGGACATTAGTTTTTGTGACATTAGTGAGTCATCTTCAAGGCAGAAAGGTTTATGTCCTGAAGAAGGTGGTACCGAGACGCGTCAGCGTTTCCTTGTTTAATAAATGAAATCCTCAGAGTTCCTCAGATCACCGGTTCTTCTTCCTCATGTTCTACAATTTATTTGATGCTGAAGAGCACCTGAGAGTGAGACATAAGTTTTTTCAAATATTCCCCAAGGATGCGCTCACTTCCACCTGTTTTTGATAATTTTATTCATGTTTTCATAGAACTGAAAAAAGATCAATAAAATAAAAAGTCCAGTAACATTAAAAATAGTGAAAAGCATCACTGCACATGACTGAGGAATACTGAATGTGAAAGTGGCACTGTTCTTAATTCATGCATCAGAGGGTTAAGTTGCTTTGTGTGTGTGTGTGTGTGTGCGCGTGTGTGTGTGTGTCACAGAAGAAGAACCCAACACCAGCAGACTCAGTGCTCCAATCCAACAGCCTGAAGAGACATCATCATCAGCTTCAACAGATGTCTGTGAACATGCATGAGCTGCTGGCCCCATGGATCCTGCTGACTGGCCACAGCAGTTGAACAAAATGGAAAGTAGAACTTTCTTTATGATGACACTGATATTTGAGTTTTGATTTTTTGCACCCCCCCCCCCCCCCCCCAAAATGACATTTGCACAACATTTTGAGTTGTTGGTTATTGTAATATTCTCAGGTTACTTATCTTTCAAGCTTACATTTATTCTTCAGGCTGTTGACTTTAAATAGTTGCTGTGTGAATATTTAAAATAAAAATTAGTAACTAAGGAATAACTGTGGAGTTGCTTTTTCCAATGTGTGGTGGGTGGGTGGACTTGGGTTTGGGTGAGAGGCAGGGGGGCACGCAAATGGGCACTCTCGCCTTGGGCACTAAATTACCCAGAGCCGGCCTTGCCCCAATCTCCTTGGTTTCACGGTCTGTGGCGAGAAAGCACACAAGGATCTGCAAGTTCACTGTGGCTTTTTGACATCTTCAGCGACAACCATCCAATATACTATTTGACCACTCCAGTTTGGACCCCTCAATGGGGTCAAAATTCACCAGAAATTGACCACCATAGTCCCTACGGTATCATCCTAAGCTAAAATCCAGACCACACATACATGTGAGGACAGCATACAAACAAAACACTGAGATGAACAGAAAATGCCCTGAGACATCCTTTTATGAATTAAAAAGAACCATGAAATACAAACAAAAACCTCGCATTGCGTTCCCCCTGAACGTAAACTTTTGAACAGCAAAAGATAAAATAATAAAAATAACCATAATGTAATGAAAATAACCACAATGTCATATCAAAGAGATCTGAGTAAGGTAATCCATTAGTGAGCTAGAATCAGGGCTCAGTTTTATCAATAAATCACACAACTCATGTTCCAGTAATTTACATAACTCATCAATGGTTGACAAGACTTATTTAACAGAAAGTTTCTGAGGTTATGAAAGATCCGAACACCTTTTTGTACAAATAGCAAGTCAAATTATTAAGGCCAGAAATCCCAACTGGGAAAAGAGTCTGCTCATGGCAGGGAAACCAAGAAACGAAAACAAAATCATAAGTCAGGATGTACTTAATTGTTTAAAGATCAGGCGACTTAAAGTCAAAACAAAACGTGTAAACACCAATCACAGCAGCTCATTCTTAAAAAACAAAACCAAATGACAAATGTTAAAATTAAACCACATCTACCTAATTAGTCTTAAACAATAAAATAAACAGGTTGAAATATTTAGTTTGGGGGTGTTTAGACTGTCAGTGTAAACATGGGACTGAGAACTTTCATGAGCTGAGTTGAGCTAAAGTTTGCATTCCATGAAGGAACAGCCTTACCAAGTGAAAATAGAGACCATCTTGAGTCAACGCTGTATTTTTAAATTAAATCCATGAGCAAAAGGCATCTGTGGAAACAGATCAGCCGCCTCACAGCTAATCTGTTTCCAAAGAAGCTTGAGTCTGGTAAAACCAGAGCTGTGTCAGACTTGTACAAAGGCTGTTTCAGTTACCAGGGGCAAAAGAGTTTGTCATTTTTTAAAATGGCAGTAAGGCACCTTTTTTCCTAAAACAATAGTAGGGTGACTTCATAGCAAGAGGCTCTCAGCTAAATTCCCTTAAAGTCCCAAGCATTCCTATAAAGATTAAAATCACGTGCAATAATTTATGCTAAAATTGGGACATGTCATGTGTGTCTGAAACTCAAGCCACTGCTAACTTTTATTGCTTCTCTGTCATCTGAAAGAAAGTGACACGTGAGGAGCAAAAAGTGAAGCAGACACTCCAAAAAACAAACACAGCCACTTATTGGACAGGTCAGGTGAGCTTGAGTTGACCCCCCCAGGCAGCAACAATTACCTGGGCCAAGACACCAGAGAATGGAAAGAAACCTAGGGACTTCAGTAGCACATTTCAATTACAACTGCTACATGTCAATGTTCTAAAGCATTGAAACTATAATATTCATGCCCTTGCATATGTTACTAATGCAGGTGCAATGCACATCTGATTGTGTTCATATTATGTTGTTTTTGTATTTCAGATACTTTTTGGCAGGAACAAATTTGTCCCTCATTCTTCATTCGGGTGAATAAAATGTTCATATTTTTAGAGTTTTTCCACAAGGTATTCTTCAAGCTGCTCCATGTCTGCTGTTGGAAATCTTCGGCTTTCTTTGTTTTTGAGGGCGCAAGGGCGGTGCTTTGATGAAATTGGCATCCTAACCAATCACAAGCATGTGCTCTTCATCTTGTTCAACAGATGTTTAGAAAAGTGGGCTTGACTACATTCGTCCTTGCGAGCCTGCTGAAGAGCCCTTGCAAGGATGGATAATGTGCACCGATACAGACTCAGAGAAATAAACTAGACTAAAGGCCTGCTGCTCATGGTGTATATTCAGAGATTTGTTAGTTAAATGGTGCTTTGTCTTTTGACAGGGTTTTCCCTGGCAGATGTCAGTCCCGCAACCACGAGGGTCCAGAGCAGTAGGAGAGAGTTTAAGACCACCGCCACCAGAGAATGCAGGTAAGGTGTAAACAGTAGTAGGACTAATTCAGATGGCCTAAAATTCATATTGCCATAGAAATATTTTAAAAGGAAATCATCTAATTCAACATGTCACTCTGATGCTGCGACAGTTCCCATATTTCAGCATCTCAGAGAAAAATTCTCACTATAATTTAGCAAAAGTTTTTTTTTTTCTTTGTTTTTTTTCACAAATGACAACAAATCTCCCATGGAACACTGACTTTGTTTTTAGTTCTCTTTTACATTTTTGAGAATAATGTGAGAATTCTGTTTTCTAGTGCCTATGGTTCTTTTCCATAGATCAAACCAAATAAGGTAGCAGTTCACCCCATTTTCATTTCAAGCTCTTTTTTAATGACTGTAACGGTATTTATCATAAAATATAAATAAATGGTCTGTTTTCAAGGGTTCCTGTGAAAGTTGCAAAAGTTGTGCCTCCAATCTATTTGTAAAAAAAATTATTGAAGCATATCTTCACATATTGTGTTTGTGAAGAAATTCTCAGCTAGGACAACAATTCAATTAAATTCAGTTTATTTATATAGCACCAACTCATGACAAGAGTTGTCTCAATGCACTTCACAAAGTAAACATTCCACTACAATACAACAGAGGGCGTAGTGCTTTTCTGGGGTACCCTGCCATCATTACAGTCCCTTGTTAATGATAGTGTAGTTACTATTGTGTTGACATCATAAATTTACAGTAAGCAGTGTCCTGACCAGTCACAAGCTTGCAGTCTCTGTCATTTCCGAGGGATAGTTAAAAATGGGCATGTCTCCCTTATACTCTACGAGCCTGTCAGAAAGCCCTTTGCTGACACATATGGCATTGCTTCTCTCTGCACTATCACAGCCGGTGAAGTATAAATTAGGCTTTAGTTTCATGATCCTCCAAAAGGGCAACAAACTGTCTGCGATTCAATGCCTGTACCCTGAAGAAGTTTACTGTTTTAAGTAACATCAATAAGAAGGTTTTTTTTATCACTGACTGACGAAAAAATATCTATTTCTGATCTACGCCAATTTCTTCACTTTATTTTGCATACGTTTCACAACATTTTTCCCTGTAAGATTTGGACAGCCTTTTGTTGTGACACCTGCCATTCTTTCTCATTTCAATCCCAGAGTGTCCATACACGTGTTTACCTCTGTAAACAGATCGCTCCCTGTCATTGTCCCTTTCATTGACAGCATGGCTGCAAACTCTTCTGTCATGTTAAAGTCTGTTATTCTGCAGACAAATATGAGTAGCTGGGCTGTGTCCCGGTCATCACAGCTTTCGTCCAAAGCCCAGGACAAAAAGTCAAAATTTGCCTCCTCACGTTGCAGCTGAAGCTCTCGATTATTCACAGTGTCCTCGAACCTTCTTGTCATGGTTTGCCTGGACAGCGGGACTTGCTGAAATGTGCATATTTGTGCTTCAAAGGCCACCAAACACTCTTTGACAACTCTCCTAAGAAAGGCCCACCGTTTTTAGCAATTTTGTGGGATATTACAAAGCTGGTCTTGGTTACTGTATCCATTGATTTGTGAGGCTTGGTAAGAAAAAAAACTCTACTTTTGCAGCTTAGCTAGCAATTTTTCCAATGTTCATGCCCTCTCAGCATCAATGAAGTTTCTCTGCGTGTTTCGTCCCATCTGCCTCACTCAAACGAAACATACTTCTTTATCTCTAATTTCAGTAAACAAATATTTAACAGTCTTATTTTTGTTGAAAACCCTGCATTCAGCATCTACCTGTCTCCTTTTAGCACAGGCAAACATTTTTGTGGGTATTACAATTTTATGCTGAAGGGTAGTTCAGCAGGCAGGAAACGTTCTTCTGGCGGACAGTAACCTGAAATAAATACAAATAAAAAAGCAACCAGAGTCAGAGTCACTACAGTATGTATCGTGTGATTACGTATGTGAATATTAAAACAATTTTAAAAATACAAAAATATTTTTGTGTCACTTTTCAGAGATGCTGATAAGGTGCCTTGATCTGCCTGAGTGTTTGTGGCTCCCGGGTCAGGGGGTGTAAGATTTTTAGTATCTGCCTGATCAATCCCGGTGGTTGCCTGGTGGGATCTGGGTGCCTGGGCTCTGCTGGGTCCCCGGCGGGGGTGGTCGCCCCTGGGTCCCGGGCTCGGCCAGCTGGGGGGTGGGAGGCTGCGGGCAGGTCTGTGGGCTTGCCGCTGATATCCCCGGGACTCTGCCGGCTGCTGGTTGTGGCCCCCAGGTGCAATCCTCTGCGCCTCTCGATGGGGGCAGGGGCTTTGCTGGTCGCGGCCTCCTTGGGGTTCCTGTGGTCTGGGACAGCTCCTGGATCTCTGGGACTTGGAGCTCCCTCCACCTCCCATACATCTTTGGGGAACAGATCTGTAGCCCCTCACACTCTCTATTGGACGCTCCTATAGAGAAACCTTAAATATACAAGCGTGTGTACACACACAGGTGCTCATATGGTGCTCTCATAAGTATGGACTTGGGTACGTTCAACACATGTCCTAAGGCTGTGGTTGGCACTTAATGCACTGTGATTTATTATCGTGTGGTTTTTCAATAAAACAAGGTTGATTTTATATTTCTTCATCAAGTTGGCGCATTGATAGCTTGCTCTTGTTGTATTGTTGTTTGTCCCTTTTCTGCAGGTCTAGAAGCAGACTCCTGTTCAACATTGATTGTTTATTTTTATGGAACCCCCCACCCCCACCTTTTGTCTCTTCCTTTCTCTTTCACCTCTGTCTCCATGTCTGGTCGGAATTACAAAGCATTCAAAAAGCAATAACAATAAAGTTTTAAGTATCAGGCGTGACATTAAAGCAGAAGCTTTGATGCTCCACCTAAGAGTAAAATCTGTAAGGCTTGTTACCAGCATTCAGACATTAATTCTGTTTGCTTCACAGCCAGACAGGACACGAGGGAAAAAAAAGAGATGCTTTTGAGAAAAACTTATTTGTAAAATCCAAGTAATCTGTCATTTTTAAATTACAGCTGAAAACTTTAAAATGCCCTTAATTACATTTGCCTAATAGCCTGTTTTGATGTTCTATAAAAGGACAAAACAAGTTTAACTGTTGACAACTGGTCAGGGTTAACACATTTATTCCAGTCAACACTAAAGTATGGAAACACCTTACAAAATGATATGCTAAATTCCAATCAATGCATTTATTATTACAGATTTTCTTAAATATAATTTATACTTGTTCATATCTTTCTTTTCAATATTGAGCAGTAAGAATATTATTTGGACAGTATAAATTATGTTATTGCTATATAGTAACAACAAGAGGTGTTGTTGATTAAATGTTAAAATGGCTTGCCATCCAAGATTGTTATAGACAAAAACTGAGAAAAAGTACAGTAGTACAACTAGGGCTGAACGGTTTAGGAAAATCTAATTGCAATTTTTTTCTTCAACATTGCAATTGCGATTTAATTCATGATTATTTTCTCATATTTTTCAACTAATGGAATCAAAATATTGTGTTGAATATAAACAAGTTTATGTATCTATATATTTATCTACATAACATATCAACAAGTTTGTCTACATAAACACTCACAAGTAAAGACAAAATTTTGTATTTGAATGTGCAATGCTTTGCAGCCAGGAGCACATTCCTTGAAGGAGCATTGGTATTAGCATAAAATGTTAAAATTTATTTGCAGGAAAGAAGTCTGTCCCATTTATTGAAGTCTTTTGTGTTTAGAGTTTTTGACATTTGTCCATGCAGAGCGTCCGTAGTTCAGTTACGTTCATAGCTGCTAGCCAAAACTCTGAAGTTAAAGTCTCTTACGGTTTTCTAGCTTTACTAAAATATCTGTCTGTACTTATTTGATTGATGGCAGTTTTTACTTTTTATTGGACTCCAAATGTAATAATTTGGCACATTCCTAGTACGTTATTTGTAAGAATGTAATCAGCGATATTAGCATTAGCATCCCTATATATTTTTCCATTTATATTAACATTGTGCTAACCACTTGCTGCCAATCAAATTGCAGCTTTGCAATTAGAAAATCTCCTTTAGTCACATCGCAATTTAATTGCAAATGCAATTAATCGTTCAGCCCCAAGTACAACACTACCAAATGAACGTGCATTTACTGGATTGTTCTAATATTACTGGTAAATCATTTCAGTTACTAGCATATAAAAGGATGAAAAGTTACCTGATGGCAGATATGAAAATGTTGAAATCAATAATGTAAAATCTAATCTGTTGAAAATAACCTGTGGCATTCCTCAGGGCTATGTATTGGGCCCTAAAATTATTCTTATTACATACACTCAACAAAAATATAAACGCAACACCTTTGTTTCTGCTCCGATTTTTCATGAGATGGACTTAAAGATCCAAAATTCATTCCAGATACACAATATTACCATTTCTCTCAAACATTGTTCACAAATCAGTCTAAATGTGTGATAGTGAGCACTTCTGCTTTATTGAGATAATCCATCCCACCTCACAGGTGTGCCACATCAAGATGCTGATCCGACATCATGAGTAGTGCACAGGTGTACCTTATACTGCCCACAATAAAAGGCCACCTTGGAATGTGCAGTTTCGTCTCACAGCAAAATGCCACAAATGCCACAAGCATTGAGGGAGTGTGCAATTGGCATGCTGACAACAGGAATGCCAACCAGATCTGTTGCTCGTGCATTGAATGTTCATTTATCCACCATAAGCCGTCTCCAAAGGCATTTCAGAGAATATGGCAGTACATCCAACCGGCCTCACAACCGCAGCCGATGTGTAACCACACCAGCCCAGGACCTCCACATCCAGCAGGTTCACCTCCAAGATCGTCTGAGACCAGCCACTCAGGCAGCTGCTGAAACAGTTGGTTTGCATAACCAAACAATTTCTGCACAAATTGTCAGAAACCATCTCAGAATAGCTCAACTGCATGCTCGTCGTCCTCATCGGGGTCTTGACCTGACTCCAGCACGTTGCTGTAACAGACTTGAGTGGGCAAAAGCTCACATTCTATGGCGTCTGGCACTTTGGAGAGGTGTTATCGTCACGGATGAATCTCGGTTTACATTGTTCAGGGCAGATGGTAGACAGCGTGTGTGGCATCGTGTGGGTGAGCGCTTTGCTGATGTCAATGTTGTGGATCGAGTGGCCCATGGTGGTGGTGGTGGGGGGGGGGGTTATGGTATGGGCAGGCATCCATTATGGACGAAGAACGCAGGTGCATTTTATTGATGGAATTTTGAATGCACAGAGATACCTTGATGAGATCCTGAGGCCCATTATTGTGCCGTACATCCATGAACATCACCTCATGTTTCAGCAAGATAATGCACGGCCCCATGTTGCAAGGATCTGTACACAATTCTTGGAAGCTGAAAATGTACCAGTTCTTGCATGGCCAGCATACTCAACGGACATGTCACCCATTGAGCATGTTTGGGATGTGCTTGACCAGCGTATACGACAGCGTGTACCAGTTCCCACTAATATCCAACAACTTTGCACAGCCATTGAAGAGGAGTGGACCAACATTCCACAGGCCACAAGTGACAATCTGATAAACTCTATGCAAAGAAGATGTGTGGCACTGCATGAGGCAAATGGTGGTCACTCCAGATACTGACCGGTTCTGAGTCCCCAGACCCCCAATAAAGCAAAAAAAAAAAAGGCGTATTCCAGGGTGGCCTTTTATTGTGGGCAGTATAAGGTACACCTGTGCACTACTCATGATGTCAGATCAGCATCTTGATGTGGCACACCTGTGAGGTGGGATGGATTATCTCAGCAAAGCACAGGTGCTCACTATCACACATTTAGACTGATTTGTGAACAATGTTTGACAGAAATGGTAATATTGTGCATCTGGAATGAATTTTAGATCTTTCAGTCCATCTCATGAAAAATTGGAGCAGAAACAAAGGCATTGCGTTTATATTTTTATTGAGTGTACAGGGAATGCAGAATTATTAGGCAAGTTTTATTTTTGAGGAATAATTTTATTATTGAACAACAACCATGTTCCCAATGAACCCAAAAACTCATTAATATCAAAGCTGAATATTTTTGGAAGTAGTTTTTAATTTGTTTTTAGTTTTAGCTATTTTAGGGGGATATCTGTGTGTGCAGGTGACTATTACTGTGCATAATTATTAGGCAACTTAACAAAAAACAAATATATACCCATTTCAATTATTTATTTTTACCAGTGAAACCAATATAACATCTCCACATTCCCAAATATACATTTCTGACATTCAAAAACAAATCAGCGACCAATATAGCCACCTTTCTTTGCAAGGACACTCAAAAGCCTGCCATCCATGGATTCTGTCAGTGTTTTGATCTGTTCACCATCAACATTGCGTGCAGCAGCAACCACAGCCTCCCAGACACTGTTCAGAGAGGTGTACTGTTTTCCCTCCTTGTAAATCTCACATTTGATGATGGACCACAGGTTCTCAATGGGGTTCAGATCAGGTGAACAAGGAGGCCATGTCATTAGTTTTTCTTCTTTTATACCCTTTCTTTCCAGCCACGCTGTGGAGTACTTGGACACGTGTGATGGAGCATTGTCCTGCATGAAAATCATGTTTTTCTTGAAGGATGCAGACTTCTTCCTGTATCACTGCTTGAAGAAGGTGTCTTCCAGAAACTGGCAGTAGGACTGGCAGTTGAGCTTGACTCCAGCCTCAACCCGAAAAGGCCCCACAAGCTCATCTTTGATGATACCAGCCCAAACCAGTACTCCACCTCCACCTTGCTGGCGTCTGAGTCGGACTGGAGCTCTCTGCCCTTTACCAATCCAGCCACGGGCCCATCCATCTGGCCCATCAAGGCTCACTCTCATTTCATCAGTCCATAAAACCTTAGAAAAATCAGTCTTGAGATATTTCTTGGCCCAGTCTTGACGTTTCAGCTTGTGTGTCTTGTTCAGTGGTGGTCGTCTTTCAGCCTTTCTTACCTTGGCCATGTCTCTGAGTATTACACACCTTGTGCTTTTGGGCACTCCAGTGATGTTGCAGCTCTGAAATATGGCCAAACTGGTGGCAAGTGGCATCTTGGCAGCTGCACGCTTGACTTTTCTCAGTTCATGGGCAGTTGTTTTGCACCTTGGTTTGTCCACACGCTTCTTGCAACCCAGTTGACTATTTTGAATGAAACGCTTGATTGTTCGATGATCACACTTCAGAAGCTTTGCAATTTTAAGACTGCTGTATCCCTCTGCAAGATATCTCACTATTTTTGACTTTTCTAAGCCTGTCAAGTCCTTCTTTTGACCCATTTTGCCAAAAGAAAGGAAGCTGCCTAATAATTATGCACACCTGATATAGGGTGTTGATGTCATTAGACCACACCCCTTCTCATTACAGAGATGCACATCACCTAATATGCTTAATTGGTAGTAGGCTTTCGAGCCTATACAGCTTGGAGTAAGACAACATGCATGAAGAGGATGATGTGGACAAAATACTCATTTGCCTAATAATTCTGCACTCCTTGTATAAATGATGAATGCACTGTTTCCAAATTGTTCAAATGTGTTTGACTCCCTCATATTAGAGGCTAATAACTCATCATGGGTACCCACAATAGTTTTGGCTCGTTAAATAACAACAGACGGCTACAGCTTATAAGCTTGACTCTCCCATATTCCAGTTAGAATTGACAAAGCTCCTCGGATGAGAAGTGAAACATCTTCAAGAAACCAAAGAAGTCCAGTTGCTTTCAATTTGAATCCTTCGGATTAGTCAATCATGCCAATTTGAAATGTCACCCACCACCTCTACTACAAGCTCTTGTTGATCATATCATTTATCCTGAAACATTTAGTATGTTTGGTCCAAATTTCTGTTTAACTGTGATCATGATGGTTGTAACTGAAGATAAAACAATTTTTTTTGTGTGTGTTTTCTTAGATTCAGCAGCAACAGGGTTTGGAAAAAGGGAGAGACAGAACGTAGACCCTGGAAAGCACTAAAGCATCACTGTACACCCCACCATCCCAATGTCTGGGTCTGGGTAGTAGCATGAAATTGTTTTTTTTTTTTTTTTTTGAGTTGACAAGGCGTGATTAATATATAATTTTCCTACTGAACTGTAAATATACTATTGTTGTTTATACTTGCGTTTTATAAGGCTATTTGTGAAACACTTGGCTATTCTGAATATACATATAGATATGTAAATTTTTTTAAATCAGAAACTTCAGTCATTTTTAGGTGGGTTGGATTAATAATTGCCATTACTTATTTTTTTGTTTTTACTTCCACAAATTATACTAATGTAATTGTTTCTGTGAGTCCATAACAACTTAATCCTTACCTTTGTTCCTTGTAGGGTTACAGAAAGCCATCCCCCGATGCATCTAAGACAATGTGCGCATTCCAGCAGTGAATGATTATATAGGTACACTGATCATAGAACTTAACAATGTGAATGTCAATTAATTTCTGAGGATTTCTGCAGTGCCATCAATGTTCTAGAGCTGTCTAAATAGGTGTAACTGTTCAAAAGTGGTTGTTGAAAAACAAAAATTTGGAGAAATTTATCTTGATGGTATCATACCAAAAACTTGATTGTGATTACTAATAATTTATTTATAACCTGCTGTTTTTGATAGTTGCATTCAGTATGTGTTAATCATTGTCTTTAGTAATGCTGTTCTTTCTTTGTTGTTGTAATCCCAATATATTGTAGCTATTGACATGGTATGTTTGTATTAGACACAAAACGAGGCACATTTTCCTTTTCCCCATGATGATGGACCTATACTCATTAATCAACACCTCTACTCGGTTTGAAAATGCATTCTAATATTTTTAGTCATCTTTCTGCATCCTGTACAACATGAAGAGGTTCCAGCACCAATCAGGAGGAAGCAGTCAGAAGATCTGTGGTAAAATTCCTGAAGAGAAAAACCTCTCAGATGTTTGGCTTTGCTTTCTGCCTCCATCAACAACCAGCAATTCATGTCGTGGGAGGAGGTTAACATGCCAAATACTATAACACAATATAACATCTTGTAATGATTTGTTTGTTTTTGAAAAGGGTCAATCAGATTTTAGAACTCCAGACTTGCTCTTTTTTTTTAAATTTCCTGTATTTTAATTTTGTCAAATGAAGGGCTTCAAAATGTGTGGATAGAATTTTATTGGGAAAATGCTTGATTTTTAGAAAACTGTTAGGGAAGAAAAACCTGATTGAGGGCTGAGGTGAGACGTAAGCTGAGTTGCACTTTGAAAGGTATGCTGTAATTTCTGACAGTTGTAATTTCCTGGTTTATAGCCTTTTTGTTTTTGCTGTTAGCAAAAAGCACATGTAAAACTTTTTGTAATTGACGGGCCTAATAAATTTATTCTAAATGTCTTGCGCCACTCTTATTCAAGATCAAGTCTTTCATGCAAAACTAAAAGTTACATGTTGTTTTATCTCAGAGAAAAGCTTCAACAAGTTTCTTGCACCATGATTTATGACATTAAAAAGAACATCTATTGTATTTCTGTGATGTAAAGATTACATGGTGCTGTGGAATTGCAGAGCAGTCTGAATGCACTGAAAGACCTGCCCCAGACTCCAAGGAGGCTCCACAGACTTAATGCTTTCATCGTGGATTCAATTCAGTTTATTTATATAGCACCAAATTATGACAAGTGTCATCTAAAGGCACTTAAAGTAAACATTTCAGTTTGTTATACCAGTGGTTCCCGAACTTATTTAGCCGTGCACCCCCTTCTGTCCCGACCTTGTCGACGCACCCCCCAGCCCCACATCAGGGCATGGCTATAATATATATATATATATATATATATATATATATATATATATATATATAATTTATGTATATCAGACGTCACGCTAAACAGTCACTCGACAGACGGGGTTAAAAAAATATGATCGACCTTTTTCCCCATCACTTTTATGTTTATGTATTATGTATTTTTTAAATAGTAATTAATAAACATTCAATACCACTACAATTTCCTTTGATTTAATTTTAAATCAATATTTAGAGTGCCCAGGTAGCACATCAACAATGCAATTTAATGGTTTTCTTAAAGCAGGAACGTTCAACAAGAGCTCTCCTGCTCTGCGTAAACCTGAACTGATCACCTACTAGTGCGTAATCAAATGTCTATAGGGAAAAAAAGATGGAAAAGATATAGCCATGAGGTTCACTTTAGCCTCAGACCGACTTATTGCTGTTTTATGGTGTGGCTGAATCTGCGATCCGCTGCCACGCGGACTGGAATAACAAATGCTGCAGTAACAGGAGTGTAGTCACAAATTATTTTTGATTGGCTTAATGAACTGACCTGAATTGGAATGTTTATTATGTGAAGTGCCTTGAGATGACTCTTGTCGTGATTTGGCGCTATATAAATAAACTTGAATTGAATAGTCAGGTTCATGAGGAGTCACTGGCTGGAGCGGACTCGACTTTAATACGTCATCCCAAAATAGAAGCTAATATCTTAATTTGACCTTGAATGAAAAATGTTATTAAACCTCTTAAAAGTTTTTATCACAGAGGAGGCAGCGTTCATTTCTGTCTTCAGTCTGATGGTGCGCCAGAGTTTGCGCAGCGTGCGCTTGTTGAATCAATATGTGTGTGTGTGTGTGTGCGGCACAGCTCCACGAGCCGCTCCAGTCACTGCGTCTCGTTATTGGCGCTATTTAAACTAATGTTGTAAAATTACTTCTGCCCAGCCCAGATGTGCTCACTTGTGCACCCGTGAGCCGTGGTTCCGCTGGAACGCGTCTGACCTCTGACAGACGCACTCTGAACTTACGATCTTCAGCGCACTGTTAATAGCCTGACGCGTTTAGAATGCTGCCCCACAGTCAGCGTGCTAATATAATAATATAATAATGCTAAAACGCTCAGATGGGAATCATTTCTTGATTTATTTAGTTACATCCACAATGTTCTGTGTGTGAGGTTTACAATGTCAGAACACCTGCATGAGACAGGTGTTAATTACAATCTGCCAGAATGACTCACCACCTTCAGATTTCTCCAACACCGTTAAAAATGATCAAATACGGAACATATCTTGCTATTGACAGCGTGCGCAAGCCAGAGTGCTGAAGCTCGGAGGGCATTATTATTATGAAGCTAGGGCACATGCGGAGGACACACACACACACACAAGCAAAATATACTTGTTTTCAATTGCATTTATTGGGCCCACTTACTTTTTCTTAGGCCCACCCACAAATGAGTTTCTGGCTACGCTAATGGTGACATATGACAGACTTCTCTGAGCTGCAGCCATTACACTTTTCACCTCACGCACCCCCTAGCGGCAGCTTGCGCGCACCACACTTAGCGAATCCCTGTGTTATACCAATCAGTAAAAAGTTTCCTATGCAAGGAATCCAGCAGATTGCTGCTAGTCACAGACCATTTTGCTAGAATGTAGCTACAGTAGAGAGGAAAACTCCCTGTTAACAGGAAGAAACATCCAGAAGGTCCTGGCTCAGAATGAGTAGCCATCTATCACAACTCACTGGGTATTGAGAAAACAGTAGACTAGGGCTGAATGATCTACCCTTTTTAGACTGAAGTTGCGATTTCAAACAATGCCATTATGTGATCGTCAAAGCTGCGGTTTTTTGTAGTGTTCCTGACTGACCCAGGATCTGTAGTCAACTATTTCAGGCCTAGTCCACACGTAGCCGGGTTTTTTTAAAAACGAATATCCACCCCTCCAAAAACTTGCATCCACACCACCTCGTTTAAAAAAAACTCTGTCCACACGTACCCGGATAAATACGTTGTTAAGGACATGCCAGACCTGTTGGCGGCAGTACTTCCCCCGTTCTTAACCTCGTCCTTCGTCTGTGGTCTTCCGCAAGGAGCAGTAATTCAGCTTGCAAAAACAAACAAGCAGAAAGTGCTTGGACAATTGATAAAGCGAGCGCAGCTCTGAGGGCATCCAAGCTGTCAGCTAGTGTAAACACAGGTCGCACACGTGATGTCAGCATTTTTTTGTCGCGGAAAGTGACATTGCGGACCTTAAAACTCCGGTTTTGTCTGTCCACACGCAGACACCCAAAACAGAGAAAACGCAGATCTTCACTTTGGCCGAAGTTTTTAAAAAGATCCGTTTTCGTGTGAAAAAACTCCGTTTTCGTGTGGATGACAGGCCAAAACGTAGGAAAATATCTACGTTTTGGCAGATCCCCGGCTACGTGTGGACAGGGCCTTAGACATCCTGGGTTTTTCTGGGTGTTGCAGTGACAGCAGAAAGTGCAAGAGAGAGGGGGGGGGGGTTGGTACTGGAGTTGAGCCCAGCTGACAGTGCTGCACATTTTGGTTATTTGTCCTTTTTTTCCCTTTAACAGATCTGTTTCTACAGCTGACATTAAATGTGAGCATTTGTCTCTGCCTCTCATGTTCTGTTTGTCTCTCAGCACTGTGCTGATTGTCCAGTAGTGGAGTGGAATTTACCGTAATAACACTAAGCAGACTTGAAAGTTCAACTTCTCTTCTTTTAAAAACCACTGTTTTCAAACACTTGTCAGTGGGACATTACCGATGTGTTTTAATATTATCCAACAAAAAACAAAATCATTGAACATATTGATCGACCTGCTTCCTGTCTTCAGTTGCCAAAGAAAATTAAACTTCCTGAATACCACAAAGTGCAGACTGAAAGTTTGCATGAGTCCATGACAGAGTCTCTTATCTGCGGCAGCCTGCAGGAGCCCTTCTGATCATTTACTTGATTTTCACACCAGGAGCTCTCAGCAGCTACATTCTAAATGAGAGATAACCTAAGATAATTTCTTATTGTTGTTGGTAAACCTTAACTTAAACATCAGACATGCCATTTTACCCTTAACAGTGGTTTATGAGACCTGCAAACAGCTAAATATACCGTAGATCCTCTAATACAGGCCGGTATTCAATTAAAGGCCGGGTCTCCAATTTTGGCCGGTGTCGGAGTCGTTGGAGGTGAATAATGGCCGGCATAGGCGTCATTTTAACCGGGGACGGGCACAAAATTTGTGATTGGCAGCTGTGTCCCCCCCACTTTCAAAATGCCTGCTGATGAGGATTTTTGTTTTACCAGCTCAGATCTTATACCAGGGGTCGGCAACCTGTTCCCATCAAAGAGCCATTATTACCCATTTCCCACAGTAAAGAAAACACCGCAGCAGTTGCAGCGTTGTGGGCGGGGCCTACCCTCAGACAGCAGAGAGCTGCTCACAACAGGTGACAGCAGCCGGTACCGGTCGCTCGCATGGGCGTTGCACCCGTGGGGGATTCAACACCCACACTTTTCCAGCTGTTTTGCTCACCTCCACACCAGTCTGGTTTCTTTACGTCGCACTCACTCTGTTTGCCTCATCTCCTTCTTCACCTCCCGCTTCTGACAGCCGATGTCGGGTTTCCAGGAGAGCAGGAGAGGAAGGGACGGAAGAGCTCGACTGAATTCATAATTTTACATCTTGACATTAGCTGTACAAAGTCTGAGTTTGATAAAGTGAAGAACAACAATTTGCAGAGGTTTATAACAGGCGCGGCGCCAGGTTTTCATTTTTGGGTGGGCCACGGTAATTTTGGTCAGACCTTAATAAGTGACTTAAGTGAAGCAGGCAGGTCGCGCTAGAAAATTTCGTTTAAAAAGACATCATAAATGTGTTCCCCGTCATTTTAATTTCTAAAATATGAAGTAAAAACTCACAATTTAATTTTCATTCATTTGTCATTAATATGTAGTCTACACCCGTACGTTAAGTGGACCATCGTCCAGTAAAAGCAAAGCATCCAGCCAACCTCTCCAAATGCGTAAAATGTGCATCAGCCGCTAGTTAGGCGCGCCGCGTGCGCCGTCAGCCCAGACAAGAGCAGAGCAAATAGAGAAAGAGTAGAGGATAATTCTGTCTGGATGTGGATGGAGATTACATTTTACAGCAGCCTGATCATCATTTAAATACGTAAACCATCACCTGGCTTCGAGTCCACGCTATCAGCATTGTTTTAATTGGTGTGTGAGCGTTTGTGTTTGCGTGTGTGTGTGTGTGTGTTTTCCACTTCAAACACTGGTCTAACCAACCAGACCAGCGTGTCCAGTAACATATTAATGTTACAATTAAACAGTTTCACTTCATGTAGGCTAGGAACGTTTCACCTGCCGTGGCCCGGCCGCTTCTGCTCCACATAAACTTTGTGCGTGATCAAATGTCTCTACAGGTGCTTTCTGAGCTGAAGAGGCTATTCTGCCTCAGACTGGATGTGTCATGCGTCTCCATATTAGAGACGGGAACAAGCGCTATTCAGCCAAAGTTTCATAATCAGCGAACATTTTTCCAGGTGACACATCCCTCAGAGAGACTGGGTTTCCAGACCGCTTCAG